CTGAGCCATGAGGGACAGATATTTTACTGTCTGGACTCATGTTAGGAGAGGAAACTGGAGCTTCCCCAAATGACCCCACCATGTGGGCTCCCATAAACTGGCCTGGGAGAAAGAGCCTGACATTCATCGAGGAACACACAGAGAGAATCCTGACGGTGTTCAAGTCCCTGGGCCCAGCTGTCCCTGATGCCAGCCCATTCTGTAAGTCACCGATAGGAGCCATTACATCACTCCCTTTTACTTAAGCTGCTTTGAATGGGAGTTTCATTTTTTTTGCAAATTAAAAGAGGCTGTAGATTTATATTTAAATTATTGCAGACAAACAGCATCTGGGCATCTTGGGAAATACTGTAGAATAAAAGTTAAGATTTTGGACTTAGCAACCAACTGCCTGGATTTAAATTTCTGGCTTAGCAAGTCTGTGACCTTGAACTAGTTCTTGAACCTCCCCAGAAGTCATTTTCTCATCTTTAAAGAGGATGTAGTAATAGCACTCAGAGGTTAGTGTGAGGTTTAGAGCTCTTAAGGCAGTACCTGGCACAAAGTGTGCACTAAATGTTATCTTTTTTTACTTTTATTTTAATACATTCATTTTAGACTACAGGAGGCAAAGAACCCCAACAACTTTTCATTGTGTTTATTGGTGTTTTGGGTTTAAATTTTAGTTAGGTCCTTTGGGCCTAGGGAGAAGTATGGATATTAAGCTTCCAGTGTTGTTATCACACTAGGAGTGAATGTTAATAAACAGTGATTAAGGGGAAGAGTTGCCCCTAGAAAGTAATGGCTTTAGTGTGACTGGTCACCATGTAATGCTGCCTCATCTCAGAGTGCAACTGAAGCCAGTTAGGATTGGAGCCCTTTAAGATGTTTCTGTGATGCTAACAGTTTCACTGTTCTGAGTCTCCTTTCATCTTTATCCATATTGGATAGGAGAGACTGACATTAAAGTGTGTGTGGTGGGGGGCTCATAATGAGTGACTGTGAGTTACATACGTAAAAAGACAGGATGCCTAAATGAAAAGAGGAGAAAACGGAAATTATTTACCACCCAGAAGAGTGTGTAGCAGTCGGGGAGGATTGGGTGGGGTGGGGAAGAGTTGCAGTTGTAGTCAGAAGATGTGGATTTGAACATCTGCTTGATCAACAGTTAATCTCTCTGAGGCTCAGTCTCTATAAAGCAGGAATAAAAATACCCCAAATGTATTGAGCATTCTATGTGCCAGGAATTTGAATACCCATCCTATCTAATAGAACAGTTGTAAAGACCAAACAGAAAAAGCTGTAAATATCCTACCTAGAAGCATATAATCTATAATAATAAAAGTGTAATATGCAAATCGACTGAACAGCAGAACAACCGTTGGACGACTTTCCAGATGACCACGCTATGACACACACTGGCACCAGGCCAGCCAAGGCGGGTGCGATGCAACTGGTTGGGAGGCCTGCCATAGCCCCACGATCGCCCCGCAGAGGAAGGCCCAGGCCACTGGCCAGGGGGGCGATCAATCGGAAGGGGGCTCTGCGATCGTCTCAAAGAGGGAGGCCCAGGCCACCCTCTGCGGGCGATCGACTGGGGAGCTCCGGGGAACGAGGGCGGCAGGGGGGTGTGGTGGTGGATGCGGGCAGCTCTAGGTCAAGGCAGGTGCAGGCTGGGGGCAGGGCCGTGAGGCAGCAGGGCCGCGAGGGCCTACCCTTGCACGAATTTTGTGCATCGGGCCTCCTGTTAACTATAAAGACCATACTACAATTTGGCCACCAGTACAGACTCCGGGCAGGTAGCTTCTGCACTGCAGTTTTTTTGTTTCTGCCATTTAACCTGCTTTAACATACCCAGATTTTATATAACATGAATCGGTACGATGGGGTCAGAGTTCTCATCATCCAAAATGTGTGAACACAACACTGATCTACCAAAGTGTGGGTGAGGACCAGAGCATCCTCAGCACCTGGGAGCCGGTTAGAAATGCAGACTTTCTGGCCCCACCAGAGCTGCTGAACCAGAGTCTGTATTTGAACTAGATCTGCAGGCAGTTCGTACACACATTAAAGTCGGAGAAGAAGCTGTGCTCTACACAAAGTCCCATGTGAGATAAACTTGGGACAGGGCAACAGAATAGAAGAGGGGAAGCACATGAACAAGGAACAGAGACAGACTATGCCACCATTAAAATGAGGATAGTGGTTCCTTTTACTAATGAAGACCTTGGCCACTTGCGGTGCAGGTGTGAGGTGTGGTAGAAAGAGTATTCTGGATTTGGAGTTCTTGTCCTAGCTCTGCCACTTAATTTAGAAAACCAGTCACTCAATTTCCTCACCTAAAAAATGGGGTTGTAATATCTATAATGTACATGAAGCATTAAGTACAGAACAGAGAACCCACTGTTCTTTTCACCCCCTCCCCCATTGGAGAGTGTCTAGAAGAGTAATAATATGATGGGTTGGTGCTATCTTTATGATGTATCATATTTCTCTACATGGGAGCTCTCACCCCCAAACCTAGGATGTGTCTATGTCCTGGGCATCTTAACAAGATGATACTTATCCATTTATAAGCATTGTGGCTGCATTGTGTTCATTCATTGAATATTCATTGAGCATTTACTAAGTGCCAGAAATTTGGTTGAGAATACAGTGATTAACCAGATATTGAGGAGACAGCAGTCCACATGATAGACATGATCCTGACCTCAAAAAGGCAGTGCAGGCATGTGAACGGCTCTTAAAAGACCGAATGGTAAGTGCAACAGCCTGTTCATTCCTTACACACCTGTGTACCCAACCACGCCCTGTTTGGGCCTAAAATGGGGGCCCCACATAACTGTTAAACTGAGGGCTAGGATTAGCAGAAGGAAGGGGACAGTGATACCGAGGAGACAATGGGTGGTTCTGCTGTGCCAGAGATCCAGCACATATGGTGAGCACTTTATGGTTTCCAGAAAGAAGGGATTCCAGTGATAAATCTTTGGCACCGGGAAGAAGACAGGTGGGGATCTAAGATATTCTAGCAATTTCAAAGGGAGCAATGTCTTGTTAATGTAATGCACAGGGTATTATTGTGTGTTGGTGGTGTAAAATATTTACTTAGATGATTGTAGATTGGTTAAACAGGCATATTGAAGGGAATTCTGCTCTTCTGGGACGCTGCCAAGCACAGCTGACAGTATAAATTTATGCTCGCTTCAGCGTCTGTATGTTTGGGCTTGTTTTTCCCCTCCGCATTCCAGAAAGTGGTGACATGGGACAAATCTTTCAGCCAAGCATTCCTCTGTAAGCATCCCTGCCCTGCTTAAACCTACAGGGGTTCTCTTTTACATAATGCATCAACTCCAAATGTCTCTTAATAGCTTTCCAAATCCTCTAGACTATGTCATTAGAAAGAACAGAGCTCAGGGTTTGAGTTGATTGCTAATAGCTTTGAGCCTTTATTTCTTTATTTGTAAAACAGAAGTAATAATGCCCACCATGCCAAATTCACAGGACTGCGAGAGTCAAAACAAAATGATGCATCTGAAAGCACTTTGTAAACCACCAAATACTATGCAAACATTATTATTATTATGGTGCTCTTATCCAGCCAACCTTGTTTTAGGACACCCCTTCTGCTGCTCTTCAGCCGAGCCACACCACGCTGTGACCATTCCCGTGTCTGAGTGTGCCGGGGTCCAACCCCAGCAGGTCCAGGGGTCCCCAAAGGTGTGGATGGAGTCGGTGAAGAAGGAATGACACAGAGACAGCGTTCAGTTGATCAGCAGCCTAGCCAGGATCTCTAGCCAGGATCTCCAGCCAAGTTCTGGTCTGGATCTCCAGCGAAGTTCTGCTGTTTATTGTCTTGTTACATCCGTATTTATCCCAGTTGATTTTAATCCTGTCAATTTCTATTACAAAGGTTAGGGTGTTTCTTATCTCCATTCCAGGGAGTAAAGATTATGTAGCTTAAGCATGATTGTTTGTAGTTAAAGTGATTAACTACCCGCCTGGCACTTAGTTAAGGAGTTTCATCCCCTCCCTGACTTCAGGGAAAAATTCCTACCTGGGGAAACAACCTTTCTCGGAGAGGTGACCTTGGTTAAAACACACAGCGCTAAGGGGAGCAAACATATTAAGAACAGTATGCTATATACGCCAGGTCCCTTGAAACATATGCTGTGCAGATGTTTCTTTCCTGCAGCGACTGTGTCAAGCAGCAAGGATGGACCGGCTTCCGGCATGAGTGTCTGAGCTGGTGTCACACCTCAGCATAGTGTGGGGAGAGCAGACCCTAGGCCAGACTGCCTGGGGTCTGGATGATAGTGGTACTTGCTTATAGGACTGTGGTGAGGATTAAGTGAGTTACTGGTTTAAAGTCCTTAGGACAGTGCCTGGCACACAGTGTTATGTAAGTGCTCCCGGCTGCTGTCCCTCCTGGCCCTGTTGTGGCTTGTACTCTCCATACCCTTCATGCCTCTCAGTTCTAGTTCATGTCCTATCTCCTCCATGAAGTCTTCCTCGACTCATGAAATGTGACAGCTAGAGTCCGTGTCGCCCAGGCTAACTGTTTATTATTTAGTGAGGTCATTGTTCTCCCTTTAGGCGCATAAATTCAGCACTTAATGGACACCCACTATTACCAGGCTCTTTCCTAGACAATGAGAATAAAGATTTGTAAGACACAGAGCCCTCTCTCGAGATGCTCATGGTTAGTAGAAAAGAAGATCACTTCCCCATCTGTGGCCAGATGACCAAGCAGACAATTACAGGAAGGTAGTTTTGTTGATGGATTGTTTATGTCCCCCCATTCATACCCACCCCCAGTGTGATGGTGTTTGGAGTGGGGCTGTTGGGAGGTGATTAGATCATGAGGGTGTAGCCCAGGGGTGGGCAAACTTTTTGACTCGAGGGCCACAATGGGTTCTTAAACTGGACCGAGGGCCGGAACAAAAGCATGGATGGAGTGTTTGTGTGAACTAATATAAATTCAAAGTAAACATCATTACATAAAAGGGTACGGTCTTTTTTTTTTTTAGTTTTATTCATTTCAAACGGGCCAGACGGCCTGCGGGCCGTAGTTTGCCCATGGCTGTAGCCCCTGGGGTGGAATTCGCCTGCGGGCCGTAGTTTGCCCATGGCTGTAGCCCCTGGGGTGGAATTTGCGTTCTTATAAAGGAGGCCCCAGCGCTCCCTTGTCCCTTTTACCAGGTGAGGACACAACAGGACAGCCATCTGTGACCCAGGAAGTGGGTGCTCACCAGACACCGCGTCTGCTGATGTCTTGATCTTGGATTTCCCAGCCTCCAGAACTGTGAGAAGAAAATTCTGTTGTTTATAAGCCACCTAGTCTATGGTATTCAAAACATGAATTCTTGGGGGGCCCTATTAAACACATAACACTTCCTCTTGTAGCTAGTGCAAGGGCAGTGACCTACACGAAATGACTGTTTATACCAGTGATGGCGAACCTATGACACACGTGTCAGAGGTGACATGCGAACTCATTTTTTTGGTTGATTTTTCTTTGTTAAATGGCATTTAAATATATAAAATAAATATCAAAAATATAAGTCTATGTTTTACTATGGTTGCAAATATCAAAAAATTTCTATATGTGACACGGAACCAGAGTTAAGTTAGGGTTTTTCAAAATGCTGACACGCCGAGCTCAAAAGGTTCGCCATCACTGGTTTACACACTCACAACTCAGTGCTTCACAGCATCGAATCAGAGATGTGCAAAGTGTGTGAGATTCCTTGCATCTTACTAGTGTGGGGCCAATGTTGTGTGACTCCCAGGGTTGCTTTAGTCTTCCTAGCACGCTGCCTGCTGCTTGCTTATATGTGTTCAGAAGGATGATTCCTTAGAGCAGCGGTTCTCAACCTGCGGGTTGCCTCCCCTTTGGCGGTCGAACGACCCCTTTCACAGGGGTCACCTAAGACCATCCTGCATATCAGATATTTACATTACGATTCATAACAGTAACAACATTACAGTTATGAAGTAGCAACGACAATAATTTTATGGTTGGGTCACAACATGAGGAACTGTATTTAAAGGGCCAGAAGGTTGAGAACCACTGCCTTAGAGTGTCAAGCCAAGTATGGGCTTGATAAGTAGTGGGAAACAAGTGCCCTTCTCTTTATTTCCACATATCTGTAACCTACCCATCTTTCAAGACCAAGGTAGTCTTAGACATTCTAATATCTGATATTATTGAGCCCTGAAGTTGCCCAAGTGTTACATGGCTCAAGTGACAGAGCTGAGTTTCTACCCATGTATTTCTGACACTAAAATCCATACTCATCCTATTGCTCCCTGTTCACTCTGTTTTCTGCTCCACTCCAATCATTCAATAAATATTTATTACTTGTGGGAACAATGCTCTCTTTAAGCCAGCTGTGATCAGATTATATTTTGAACTATCTCTTCTCAGCGTTAATGGTGCCTTCTACCTAGTTTTGTAATTATAAGTATGCCACATCCTCTGGTAGATTGCAAACACCTTGGAGGAAACTGCATGTCTAATTTATCTTGCACCCCTACAGGGCTGAGAAGAGCATACAATGTTTGAATTTTGTGGGCCTCCATAAATATCCAATTAACAAGTGAAAGAGTATATACACCTACAAATATTAGGTATTCAATTCTTTCCACTTCTGTGTTCTGATTATTATAATAAGGTCCAATTTCAAAAATAATTCTGTATGTTAATTTTAAAAAAGCCTATCCTTTGTCTATGAGTTAAGTCCCCTATCTCCAATTCATTGGTTCTCAATCCCTGGACTTTTGGCCCAAAATATAAAGTTCTTTATACCAGCACAAATGCATACTAACATATATATATGTATAGATATAGATAAATATAGACATAGATATAGAGGTAGATATATAGATGTAGATAGATATATAAGTATAGATATAGATATGAATCACCTTTCAGGCTAGGAAAATTTATGCATTCCTTTACTTCAAGACTTAATTTCCAATCTTATTATACCAACTGCTGTTTTGAGGTGTTACTTCTAGACAATTACAGTTTTTGAGGGAACAGAAGAAGCATGTTGGGGATTCTCATCTTCTACCCACCACCTTCGGAAAAGCCAGGGGCCCCTTTAAGCTCACTTTTATGGCTAACATCCCATGGGCTTGCTGACTCTCATCCCATGGAGTCCCACTGCTAAGTCCAAGCTAAAGGATTCACAGGCAGACCACTCCTCCCAGGCACAGATACAGGTTTGTATTTTAAGGAGGAGCTTCAAAGTCTTAGCACAGGTAGTGAGCACTGGGCCAGTTGTAGGTAGGCACTTTTGCACCTTTCTGTGGTGGTGGCAGGACCAGTAGAGGGAGGTGAGGCAAACGCCTCAGACGCTACCCTTTTGGGGCATTTTCTATAGCAACTCCAATTGGAGGAAAAGAAGTGGCAATTATTATATCTACCACTAGAGGGCAGATTAGTCAAATTTTGGAATGTTTGCTGGCCATTGTGAAGCCTGGCGAATTTTTTTTTCTTGCTTTCAAAAATCCCCCTGCATTAGACAAGAGACCAGAAATAGGAAAAAGCAAAGTCAGAGGCATGCTATTGATAAGGGTGGGTCCTCCTCCGCATTTTTTCTCTAATTGTGTACTAAGCTTGCATACTAGGCTTGCCCTAGGGAAATGAACAGGTATCAGCACATCCAGGTAGTAACAGCCTACTATTTAGTACCTGTTATGTGCTAGGCACCATGCTGGGCATTTTACCTGCATCATCATCTTTGATCCTCCCAACAGTCTTTTGTGGCAAATTTTTAAAATAATTATTTTATAGATGAAGAAACAGGCTTATGAAGGTTAAATATATTGGTCAAAAGTAAGAAGCTAATTAGTGGCAGACTTGGGATTTGAATTGATGTTTGTTAAGGAGGGGGTAGATGGGAAAAAGGGTGGCTTGAAGGGATGAATAAATCATTCAAAACCTCTGAGAGGGCTTCAGGGCAGGGCATTGTCTTTCTTATCGCAGCAACTCTAAGTGGAGAAAATAGCTTTAAGCAAATTATATATGTACTCAGTGTAAAAAATTTATATTTAAAAATATATATATTTATTGATTTCAGAGAAGAAGGGAGAGGGAGAAAGAGAGAGATAGAAACATCAATGATGAGAGAGAATCATTGATCAGCTGCCTCCTGCATGCCCCCCACTGGGGATTGAGCAGGCAACCCAGGCATGTGCCCTTGACTGGAGTTGAACCTGGGACACTTCAGTCAGCACTGAGCCAAACCAGCTAGGGCTCATCATTTTTTATTGTAGATACATTACTGTGCAGATAAACACAGAATCTTTATATAAATTTTAATGATTGTATTTTATCACGTATCCAGTTCCTGTTGATAAGCTTTTCATTAATTTCCAGTTTTTTATTATAAACAATTGGGTAACAAATTCTTTGCATCTGCTTCTATCCAAGGCATTCTATCTCATCTCCCTTAATTCCTTTGTCGTTATTTCTGTTCTGCCATACCTTTTCTTTAGAAATAGATATCAGATAACTAGCTCCCATCTTTAAAATAAATCTTCCTTGATGTCACTCCACCTCCAGCTATACCCATGTTCTTTGTTTCCTTAGTCACCTTACATTTTTAAAAGAGGTGTTTATACTTGCCAACCTCACTTTCTATCCTCCTGCTGTCTCTTGAATCCATTCCCATCAGGTGTTCACCCACAGCCCTCCACAGACAGTTCTTACAAAGTCATCAGTGGCCACCATGCTGTCCAACCCAATAGCTGGTCCTTCGTCTTTGACTTTCTGCAGCATTTGACACATTGAGCATTCCTTTCTTTCTTGGAATTCTTCACTTGCCTTCCATGAAACCACTTTCTTGGTTTTCCCCCCATTTTATTAGCCACTGCCTTTCACTGTCCATAGTTTCTCCTCGCCTCCAGTTTGGGGGCATCCCATTGTTCAGATCTCAGACCTCTTTTTTTCTCCTTCTCCATTCATTCCTTAGGAGATCTCATCTGGTCTCAGAGCTAAACACTATCCAGAAGCCCAGACCTCTCTCTGAACTCCAGATTCCTAATCCAAGTGCTTACCTGACATCTCTACTGAGATGTCTAACAGACTATGCAAACTTGACAAATTTTTCAAAGCCCTTGATTTCTCTGACCTCATTTCACCTAAGTTCTCTTTCTACAAGTTTTCCCGCTCAATAAATGTCCCTCTCAGCCAAAAATCTTAGAGCCAAACTTGACTCCTTTATATCTCTTATGACTCGTATCTGCTCTGTCCAGAGATCCTCATGGCTCTGCCTTCAAAACATATCTAGGATTCAAGCACTTTCAGCAATCTCCACGGTCACTCTCCGTCCTCGTGTCTCACCCGGATCATTGTAATCACATGCTGCTTACACTTTTGCTCACCTCAGTCTGTTCTTCACCAGGAGCCAGAGGATCTTTACAAACTCAAGTCATAGACCATCTTCGCTTTGCTCAAAGCCCTCCATTGTTCCCACAAGTAATTCTGCTTGTTTTGTTAATGGTGAAACCCCAGTGGCCTCACTGTGGTGAACAAGGCCCTGTGTAGTCTCAGAGGACCACTCCCTCAGCTCCCACCACTTTGCTCTTCCTCACTCTGCTCCAGACTCACTGGTCCCACCTTTGTACCTGCTTTTCCTCCGTCTGGAAGCATCTTTCCATCGGTATTCCTACACCCTGCTTCCCTACTTCCTCAAGCCTCTGCTCTGTGTCTCCTCATCAGAGAGGCCTTTCCTAATCACCTTGCTGGGACCAGTGCATTCCATTTCTTATTGCCCTTACCCTGCTTTATTCTTCTTACGAATATCACCACCACCACCACCCACACACACACACACACACACAATTGATTTTTTTGCCATTTGTCTCCCCAAACTACAATGCATACTCCTGGAAGGCAGGCATTTTGCTTGTTTTGTTCTCAGCTGTACCACTAATTTTCAATCCAATGCCTCGCACATGTAAAAAGACTCAATACTACATATGAATGAATATTCATCTTCTAGTGGAGATTATCTCCTTACGGTAGATTTCTAGGAATGGGAGTACTGACTACACGATCTGAATTTTAAAGACATACTTGACACATTTGACTGATATATTTTCTCATCCACAGAGTACACGACAGTGCCATTGACCCAACATTCACCAAAAGGCATTTTGTTAGTACTTTTCATCTTTAGGAATCTCATAGACAAAATATTTTCTTTTCATTTGCATTTTGAGATTATTTGAATGTTTATATATAGATTTATCAATCATTTGTACATGTTTGTATGAGTTTCTAGACTAT